GAGCCAAGGAGGGACTGCAGTGGGAAGGAATTAAGATTAGAAATTAAACAGAAAAAACACAGCAGTATATGAATACGAACCAAACAGAAACAAGATGCAAACAACGAATGACCTCGGGGCGCTCTGTTTGATCACAGGAGACCGCGGGTCATGTTCGAGTATTTAGGTAAATAACGAGACAGCAGGTACCAGGCACGGCAACCCGAAAGGGGGAAGGGATCTGGCACCGAGCGATGGGATTCCAGACTCTTGGTTTACAGGGAAGAAGGCGCGCCTTTGTCGGAGGTCCGAGGAATGCCGCAAGCCACGTTGTTTTTGGAATGCAGCAGCCACGAGTATGGGAAACAAAATAAACACAAGAAGGGGCATCTTGCAGCTCTATATATACCCAATGCCCGTCCAGAACTCGGACAGTTATTGCTAGTCCCTGCAGTTCGATGGGCGGCCATATTGACTGCCGGCGATGATCAAGGTGGAGGAGACGGGCGAAGAAAGTCCCGAGATTCGACATCCGACCATTGTCGACCCATGCTCCTAAAGGAAGGATCAGACCGCATTGCGGCTGCTGTCGGCTGACAGGTATAGTCACTCTAGTACAGTGCGGAGTTGAGCACCAGTCGAGCTGTTGGTTCTCGACGTTCTCCTGACTGGATCGAGATGGTCCCAGTCCCCGCGGGGAGAAGCATCGTCAGTTGCCCATCTGAGCTACATGGACGAGAAGGGCAAGATCGACCTGCTTCCACCACGCAGGGGAGATTCGCTCAGGAGCTTGTCTCGGCTGTCCAACAAAGTGTATTTTCAGATATGGCAGTTATCGCTTCCTTCTTGGGCAAGGAGATCCACCAGATGTGGGCAATATTAGCTGTGGCTGCCAGCCAGCTGCACGGCCACGGCGGGCCCCTCCCCCTTGCTGCTATGGTCCAGTGGGTATATTTCCTCCAGGTTCGGGGTACACAGCTCTCCAGAAGGACGGTGGTCTCGCTGACGCACCTCGAAAAGGAGGGTGAGAGGCGTGTGTCATTTGACATATGGTTGGCGCTATCCAGAACTAAACGGATTTAACCAGCGTGCTGGCGTCCTATGATGTCGTCTTCGAAGCGATCCGGTCGCTCCAACCGGAGAAGCCTGTACTCGGTACGAAGGACAGAGGCCTGCCTGCATCTGCAGGCAGCTGGATCTTGTCGGGCAAACGGCGGTCTACAGAGCAAATCAGGCCGCCACAACCCCGCATCCGCGTGAAGAGCAAGTCCAAGATCACCGGAGAGCTCGAGGACGGACGGAGAGATCTGCGTGATGGATCTGGAGGGACGGAGAAATGACCTCTGCACAAGTGGTGTCTCATGACCACGCCAGCCTGATTGGAGTGACGGACCCAACGTGCGAAGACGAAAAATAAGGCCAAGAGAGGCATCGAGACTGCCGACAGGCGGATAAATTCGCCGTCCAGTTCTCTTCGTCGGATGGTTATCGCGGATTATGACGTGGCTGCGCCGGACATGCTTGAATGCTTAAGCTCCGGAGGGCTTGATCGGCACGGTGGACGCTGCGGGGAGATCCCTGGGGCTGGCGAGAACGACTGGCCGGTCCCTGAGAGAGCCTGTGCGCGCCAGCTGCGTATGACGCAACATCCGCACAGCTAAGACAGAGGCTATGATGAGTCAAGTCCCGACGACAGAGGAGAGCACAAGCAGAGACAGAGGCTGAAGCCAGGGCGAGAGTAATTCTCCGAGGATCAAAGACGCCTCACCCCCCTCCCCTCCTTGCTGGACAGCTCACATGGCCTGCGATCGATCACGTCGCGTCACATGATAGGGTCAGTTGGGAGTCCTCGCTGCCTCAGTCCTCCGCGCCTTCCCGACTCGGCGGATCTTAGGGCTCGGCCGGGAGTTGCCTGATCGCTCTGTCAACTCTCCTCGACTTCTGAGACATCAGGAATATATATCAAAATATCCAACTCAATAGAGGAGACACAGTCTTGTGAGCATCCCGTCCGTTGCTCTGCTCTCCTTTCTGACTCTTTTATCTATTGCCTGGTGCTCAACTCATCGCTGGAAGCAACCGTAACCATGCAACTGGCCAACCGTCCACTCGAAAGAGGGGTTTCCCCTTCGGGATTGGAACATGTCCGATCGATGTTCTGTACAGACATGCAGGATGCTACCATACAGACCACTCCGAGCACGCCATCTAGTCATGCATGACATATCCTGATAGCATCGGTCCCAGCTCCAACCGGGCGCGGCGTCTGCAGTGTGATAGGCTTGCATCGACTTTAATCGCCGGCGTCAGGCGTAGAGTTAGCAGCTTTCGACCAGTTTTCAGAGTGCTCTGCCTTTGTATTTTTGTTCCGTTGCTCCCGAACTGCCATGAACGACTTGAACATGGCTTTGTTTCCCAAGCAATGGCATCACTTGTCGCCCTGCTCAGCTGATCGACGCCGACCGTTGCCGAGCTTCCCCGCGCCAAACTGCCGGCCACTGCGGGGTACGATTGGCAGCTCACAAGCCATGGCACAACGCCAGAAGGCCTAACGCAGAGCTTATGCACGCTGGCGTAGTGGCTTTTGGCTTGTTTTTTTCATCTTATTTTTTCTCAGGTGACCATGATCCAAGAAAACTTGTTGACATTGACGTTGCATTCGTTTTCAGTACACTGACTCTATCCAACAACTATACGACGGTTCAGCGCCAGGAAGTCATGAAAACACGCATACACGCCGTTTCTCCGTCTTGTCGACCTCAGAATTGGGCGCGACATTAGCGTCCACAGCGATGACATCACGGTCCCGTTAGCACTTCTCAATCTCGGTATCGGCGAAATTTACTCGGAAAAGCGGTCGCCCTGTTCGCTCTTTTGATCGCTTGGAGTTTTTCGAAATTGAGAGCCCTTGTTGCGAGTGCCCTGATATTTACAGGATTAGGTGTACAAAGCTGCTTGTTCGAGAGGAAGCAATGGCAGTCTTCGCTGAAATCCCGTTTGGGCACCGCCTTGAACGGATTCTGCCAAGACGTGACACTGACTGCGCAGTGTTACCTACAATGAGCTGTCGGGCATTTTGAGTGAGTTGTATTGATTCTGCACAGCGCACTTGGCACGATCCTCAGGAATTGATTGTCGAAAGACAGGTATAACTCGATCATTGGCCCAAGCAGCATTGATCAAAGTGACACGGCGCTCACCAAGGCCCCCGTCTGTTCGCGTTCTATTGTGTCCAAACGATCCATCTATGCACCTCGACACCACTAGAAGAAACGCCTGCTTTATTCCACTTGTCGCGCTCGAGGGTTTATCCACTATAAGAAGCTTGGGATGGTATTCCGGCATCGCAGGAAACATCTGCGCCATGTCGTATCGCAGAAACCGTATTACTTTCTATTCTGCATCCAGGCTGGCGGCATACCATCCTCGATCTTCTTGTCGTGGAACTTCAAGCGAACATAACTGCTCTGGATGCGTTTCTACGGATCCCAATTGATCCAGGAAATCAATGCCCACATTCAACCAGACACCAAGAGCTGATTAGCAGTTGAGTACCGTGGGAATCTTCACACAGTGTTATCGCCAGAATACGTCGTTTCAACTCGAAAAACGATTGAAAGACAGAAGCTGGAGAAGAGTTCATACCTGACCCAAGTTGACTACACGGAAGATATGCCAATGCTATGTTTCCGCCTCTCCCAGTTCGTCTATCCGTTGAGAGTGGGTGGGTACCGTTTCAATCACCCCAGCAGTGAGGTTCAATTCTCTCCAAAAAAGGCATCGATGCATACAGAACCTGGGAGAAAATCCAACTGGGAACGGGGAGTTAGTCCATAAAAGGCCCATTGCGCAATCACCCGCTTTTTCGGATACGCGGACAGTATATATTCTGAACCAGCGGCAAAGATCCACCTGCGGATCGCGCACTTGAAAAGCGAAGTAACCTTCTTCTTTTCTTCTTGAAACTTGATCAATCCTGTGTCTTTTTCTTTTGACCCAACTCAATCGTCACCCAAGGATCCCCCCACGCTCTAAATAATGGGTGACTCTTTCGTTACATTGAGCCGGTGGCTATACAGCACCAAAGCATCGAAAGTCCTCTGTAATAGCTGAGCGGATCTGGGCTATGCGAGAAACAATTCCTTCCACAACTGGCTACATCTATCTGAGTCATTCGCAGGCTGTTGGCGGCTCGTCCCCCGCTGGGCGAGATAGCTTTATCTGCGTGGAACCGCATCCCTGCGCCTAGACGTCCGCCGCGGTTTCGTCGTCTTTCCTATCCTGGAGGGCTGGATCCGGCTGGGATCTAGCCGCGATGCTCTACCCTGTCTGCAGGATCATCTATCTATTCTCCGCACCCTGGATGCTGGTGATTGTCTCAGCGTAAGGCAGTGTGGGCGCGTACAGGACAAGCAGCGGGGAAGGCCTTCCAAGAGCCATAATCATGCCGAATGCCTGTGTTTTAGGCGGGCCACCGAGCTAGCTCCTGCTATGCCCGATCAGCAAAGACTAGCGACCTTAGCCGCCGTCCATCCCAATCTGCCCGTCGCCGTCCTCCACTCACACCACTGCCGCACTGACTGTCCGCCCTGCTCGTGGGGAATGATCGGCCTCACCAGAACAGCAACCTTCGGCACATTATTGAGCTCGTTCTCTTTCCAGAGACCTCGGCTGCCGCAAGCCGACTTTGCCTTTTCGCCTCATATGACGGCCGAGGAATTGCCGGCGAACGGACACAGACAGGAGAACGGGCAGCGAACTCTCGTTCTGTTTGACACGGCGGGACGCGCAGACGGAAAATTGCATCGCATGATGTAGTAACTGAAGAATCCAACCCAAGACGGCAAGGATCATGGCATCCTGCCTAATCTCCTTATCAACTCTCGTCTGGCTAATTATTACTGGCTTGCAATCTCGTCTATCTACTGGGCGATGATGCACACTGATCGCTAGTCCAGGTCCAGCTGGCGCCACCTGTTTCTCGTTCCAGTAACTGTCCAAGATTGATCCTCGATGGCTGCGGACGCCACGGGGCTGTCTTGCCGGACAGTGAAGACTGCCCCTCTTGGCGCACGCCCGAGCTTGCCTGGCGGCCTCTCGGAGTCCACAGGCGGCGAAGATCGGAGAGCTTTCTCCACGACGCACGAGCTCGTTCCTGGTCGCCGGCCAATCATGCTCGCATTCGGCATTTTTGATACTACTCCGTCCGGCCCGTGTCCCTGGTCCCAGCAGCCAGTTGCATTGCACTGTCACACTGCCTAGAAGTCAATTCTGTGCTATTACAGCCTCTTGTCCAGCATGGCGGGCTCGAGATGGCTTATCAGCACCGCAGAAAGCTGCTGCTGTTATCCTGATCAGGAAGGCCTATCTAGTTGCTTGGCGGTGGCATCGCGAGCGGACCCTCGGCTCCGCGTCAGATCTACAGTCACCAACAGAGCTACGCGATGGAGGGGAAGCTGCCTGCGCGCAGACCCTCCCCCTGATGGAATGGATATAAGTATAGGGAAGCTCACAGCCTTGCGAGAATCCACCATCCTTGTCCCAGGCAAAAAGTCCGGCAACTTCCATTTGCCTCTGGATAGGGAGCTGCACCATGAAGTCGTCTATTCTCTTTCTTGGAGCGTTGGCCGCAGCAGCCCTGGCCGCGCCGGCTGCTAACGACAAACATGTCCTGCACGAGCGACGAGACATTCTGCCCAGTTCGTGGAACCAAGCCCGGCGGGTGGATGGCAGGACCAAGCTGCCCATGAGAATCGGGCTGACGCAGTCCAACCTGGACAGAATGCATGACCTCCTCATGGATGTGTAAGTTCGCCCCTGCTTTTGGACTGTAGCATGTAGTCTGACCGGTCGTGTTCAGCGCGCATCACCACTCCCCCAACTACGGGAAATACTACACTGCTGAGGAGGTCCACGACCTGTTTGCTCCCTCGGAGGACTCAGTTGCTGCGGTCCGCAACTGGCTGGAGTCGGCCGGAATTGCCAGCGACCGCATCTCCCAGTCGCACAACAAGCAATGGATTCAGTTCGATGCCGACGCTGAAGAGGTCGAACGTCTGCTGCACACGGAGTACTATATCTACGACAGCGAAGAGACGGGCAAGTCCCACCTCGGCTGCGAAGAGTGAGTAACTCAGACAATGGGCCTAATTTTCAGTCGATGTAGATGCTGAAAAGTAATTCAGGTACTACGTCCCCCACCATGTTCGTGAACACATTGACTACATCACGCCCGGCGTCAAGTCCATCGCCGTTTCTAAGCCCCGTCCGGTCAACCACCTGGGGAAACGCACATTCGGATGGAAACACCCTCAGCCGCCGTTGGTGAAGCCGCTGCCCAATGGCGTGACCCTGCAGAACCTCATTGATTGGGTGGTGTCATTGGCGACGCAGACCTGTGATGTGGCCATCACTCCTCCGTGCATCAAGAGTAGGAGCCTATGGCTAGCGTTGACAAGGGGAGAGAAATGCTGACCATGAACAGAGATGTACAACATCACCGAGGGCGACAAGGCAACGCCAGGCAACGAATTGGGCATATTCGAGGATCTGGCCGACTACTACAGTCAGCAAGACTTGGACTTGTTCTTCGCGTCTCTTGCTTCGTACGTTTTTTTTTTTCCTTCTCTATCAGGTCCCACGCATACATGCTAACAATTGTAGAAACATCCCGAAAGGCACTCACCCGACCCTGCACAGCATCGACAATGGTACCGCGCCAACAACGAAGGCGTTTGGGGCTGGCCCAGAGTCGGATCTCGACTTCCAGATCTCGTATCCGATCATCTGGCCCCAGAACTCGATCCTGTTCCAGACGGACGACCCCAACTACGAGGCGAATTACACCTTTGACGGATTCTTCAACAACTTCCTCGATGCCATCGATGGCTCATACTGCTCGTACTCGGCCTATGGCGAGACGGGCAATTCCGACATCGACCCGCCCTACCCGGACCCGGCCCCGAACGGCTACAAGGGCCAGCTGCAGTGTGGCGTCTGGAAGCCGACCAACGTCATCTCCATCTCGTATGGCGGCGGGGAGGCGTACCTGCCCATGTCGTACCAGCGTCGCCAGTGCGACGAGTTCGCAAAGCTGGGGTTGCAGGGTGTCTCCGTCGTGGTGGCGTCGGGCGATTCCGGCGTCGCTGCGAGCGGCGGCTGTCTCGGTGACAAGGGCCAGATCTTCGCTCCGGATTTCCCGGCGTCGTGCCCGTACATCACCACAGTGGGCTCGACGTACCTGCCGCCCGGCGCCAGCCCGGACTCGGACCAGGAGGTGGCTACCTCGAGGTTCGGCTCCGGCGGCGGGTTCAGCAACATCTACCCGCAGCCCGACTACCAGAAGGACGCAGTAACCAACTACTTCAACACGGCGAAGCCGTCGTACCCGTACTACGAGACGACCTACAACCAGAGTGTCGGGGCCAACGGCGGCATCTACAACCGCATCGGGCGCGGCTACCCGGACGTCTCGGCGATCGGCGACAACGTAGTGATCTTCAACAATGGTGCGCCCACGCTCATCGGGGGCACGTCTGCGTCGGCGCCGGTCTTCGCGTCGATTCTGACGCGCATCAACGAGGAGCGGCTGGCGCAGAACAAGTCGACGGTCGGGTTCGTCAACCCGATCCTGTACGCGCACCCGGAGGTGTTCCACGACATCACGTCGGGCAACAACCCAGGCTGCAACACGAACGGGTTCAACGCGTCGGTCGGCTGGGACCCTGTGACGGGGCTGGGGACGCCCAACTACCCGAAGTTGCTGGAGCTGTTTTTGCAGTAAAATAAAATCATCAGCCATGGAAGGGATGGTTTATTATTTGCTGTTACGGGCAGGATGTCCTTTGTATATATTCATCTACCGTATGATATGTGCATGCTTGATATCATGACATTCCTCTCCTTCACCTCTTCTCTCCCCTCTGTTAATGAGCGGTATGATGAGAGCATCAAATACTATACATATGTACTGTACATACATGCATACATACGTCTACGCAGACATAATAATGAATCTATCATTTCGAAGCAATGCCTAGTTTTCAGCATACCCTCGATCATATGTAAATTCCTTCGAATATACCTGATCTATTAGCAGGCTTGGATCCGGTATCATCACTGTGCAGGGCCTACCACTCGTTCTCCGCCGGAAAGAAAAAGATGAGAAAAGTAAAATAGAAGAGCCATCATCATGCCTGTGACTAGCTAGCTAGCTACATCTGCTTAACCTGGATTCCATATTGCTCCATCCATCCCAGGCAGGGAAGATCAGCAGCACTAAGCATCTCGAATAAATATACCCGCGACGTTAGCAGTAGCCTACATACAGTGCATACATCATTCAGCCGTAATGGATATATATAACCGGATGGTGCCGATATTCCGCCCTTGATTTCATTTCATTTCATTTCATTTTATTTTATTTTATTTCACTTCCTGACGTCCGACGTCCTGTGCGTTGATGGTACCTTAGCTTGATTTGATCGATTTGATTAATTAATTGGGCTCATTCTGATTGTATATTTGTAATAAAAAAAGGAAGGAGGGGAAAGTCTGTAGAAGAAGAAAATGTCTGTAGGGGAAATAAAACAGTAGGAAGGCCCTTTTTATTTATTTATTTATTTATATGCCGTTTCCCTTAGGAGTTCATGTACTATACATACGGACAGGAATATATAGAATGGCACAGTCTCCATCATTGAATCGAAAGACTATTTGTTCCTCGATGTACCTGCACAAACTTAAGAAGTAAAAACGTGGGTATCATAACGCTTTTGAAAAGCAAAAGCAAGGCAGTTCCCAATCAACGTGACTATACTCCCAGCATAACACCAGTAGTGGACCAACCTGGCCAACCGTACCGATGAAAAGGAACAAACTCCTGCTCCAATTGCAACCAGATAAATAAAAAGATTGTCTCGGAAAACCGGGAGAAAACATACACGCCTTTTTTTTTTGCTCAGGGAGCTCAGGAAAATCCACAGAAAAAGGTTCTTTCATGTCACGTCACGTCATCACATCGATTGTACATCGCGTTATGATAATTTATTTCTCTCCTTTGTCGTCGTATTCTTCTTCCTCTTCTATCACGCTGAATCGAACGCCGCCCATCCCCATCGACGTCGCGATGCTGTCCACCCACGGCGTCGTCGGCCCCAAGCGCAGCTCGGGAGTCATCAGCGATTCGCATTTCAGCGGAAACGCACGTTTAGAAACACCAGATGGGGGAAGATCTGGAGGTGGCGTGATGAGGGAGGAAGATGATGACGGTGATGATGATGACTCGGTCCTTGTTTTTGTTGTTATTGCTACTGAGCTGCATCTGTCATACATACTGCCGGGTGAAAGTGATCTGATCTCTGCCTTCAAGGCTGGCCGGTCCTCTGGTGTCAATATCATCAGGAGCTGATTCAACAAAATGATCCCCGACCGGATCCCCTTGATCGATAACGATGCGAACCCGTCAAAAAAGTCGTACGGAATCGGCCCAATAAACCTGGTTTCTTGAGAATCTTGCTCGCTGCCGTCGCTGCTGCTTCTGGAACCTTGCGTCGCTACGGCGATGCCAAACTCGGTGTGGATGCCTCGCAGAGTCGCCCGGCACGCTGTTATATTCTGCACCAGTGCCGGTCGCAGCTGGGCCTGCTTCTTTGCTGGCAGTTCCCACAGATCTTGCACCCTCTTGACAAATCCCGGCAACTTGACAATCTCTCGAAAGGCGCGCTCGGCGATATCCGTGAACAGGGAGGAATCTGGCTGTTTAGCGTTATCTGCGCCGATCGTCTCACTCAATTGTTGCCACTCTGGCCGTTCTAGGAAGCATGCTTCTCCATTCAGCAACGCTGCCGTCACTAAGAACCCGCGGAATGCAATATATATGGCTCGACCGAAACCACCAATGTGGGCCTCCGGTCCTCGCAACCGCATGAGCTCGGCGATGCCGGCGCTGTGCTTCAGCCAGGCGTCTGCGGTCGTGCCAAGGGACATGTCGTAGACACTGAGGAGGATGGCCGTCGCGACAACTTCGTCTGACTTCGCTGCGGCCAGATTGGTCAGCCGCGCGGCCACCATCCGGAGAGCCTTGATGTACATGAATCGCCCGATATCCACTAAGCGCTGGTCGTCGTGTAAAAGCCCCATATACGTGCAGGTAATGCACCGCACTATGGCATCGAAGGGACTCCGGGGTAACCCAGAACCGCGACTGGAGACGAATTGCACCCAATTTATCGGCACTTGAGTCTCGGTACATTTGAAAAGACAGGGCCAGGCTGTCAGGACATAGTTGGCGTAGATCTGGGTCTGCTGGGCAGAGATGGCCTGAACGGCCAGAGAAGGAGACACTCCTTCGTCAATGGAGAGAAGCACGGGCTTGTATCGGACATTGGTACGACCAACTAAACGGGGATGAGGGAAAAGGGAGTCATCTGCTTCGCGACGGCGATCATCGCGACAGCCGGGCCTGTCCTCTTCTTCAGATGAGGGAGAGCTCCTAGACAAGGCGAGAGCTGCAGACGACGACGCGGTAGACGAACGAGAAGAGGCTTTGGAGGCGGCGCGGTATCGCTGTTTCAAGGCAGGGGCTTCGTCCTGGAATTTGAAGACGCGGGCGTATCCAGGACATTGGGCGCCCATATCAACGCAGCGCACGCACTGTGGGCGAGTCTCATCGCACTAAGTGGAAGATAATAGATCAGATTAGATAATTGATCCTGGCTTCGCTTGCATTATCAAAGCATGACAAAGAGGGTGGTGGGGAGGCTTCAAGAAGAAGCCACGCGGATCCCCCTAGAAGTTAGACAGAGTAATGTATGGATAAGTGCCGTACTATGCAGTTATGCACTGCACAGCAGTAGCCACTCTCTCCTTTGGGCCAATGGAACAAGGCAAAAGAGACAAAAGAGAAAAAAGGAGACTATGATGACCTCAAAAATACCTTCACATGTCGTTGGACGCAGGTCTGACAGCCCTTGCTCCGGGGCACGCCCACCATCCTTGCCAGATGAACTTTCTGCCAGGTTGACGGATACGAGGGGACAGTATTGTCGAAGGAAGACGATTATTATGTCGAGGCGTCAAGATGTGTCAGCACTGACTTCGGATCGTAAGAGCCCATATCCCCAGCGAGACGGGACAATGATTTTGGCAGAGTACAAAAATAAAAGCAGAATACGAGACCAGGACACAGGTCCGACATCGAGAAGAAGCGGGGGAGGAAGTGGACCACCGTACAGATTATTACGGGGTAACGGACGCCAGAAGGCCAAGACGCTTTCGTTGAGCTTCATCACAAGAACGACCAATTTTCTGGGATCCCAGTCATAGCGTTGGGTAACGGAAATGGATAGCATCATAGACTTAAGTTGCCACTAGCAGGGCAGTTGAGCCCCAATGATCCCAGGGAAGGCATTAGCGAGGGGATTAGCTGACTTGGTCAGGCTGCAGTGCGCTTGGCCGTCCTGCCAAGGCCAGGAGAAGCAAGGATCTGCTGGGGGCCCTGCTTCGAGAATGTGTTTGTTCTCACTGGCGGACTAGAATAATAGCTGGCTTGGTATTCTGCAAAAAGAACGTGGGTAAATCCCAGAGAACCAAATCAATCGATAGACGAGCGGTGGTGGGTCTAGACGTGTGGGCAGCACAGATCCGTCATCGACAAGTGCCATCTTAGTGGGGATAGAGATCAACTCTCATGAATGGGCGCAGTGTCAGCGGGAAACAAAATAAAACGAAAGATTAAAAATTAAAAAAAAAGAAAAATGGTAATACCGCAGCATGCAATCATGGAATAATTAAGCTGTTTCAAATGGTGGTGAAGGGGCGTAACGTGCAACAGAAGCGTTGAAAACGGTCTGTGCTTCGTTGCAGTCAGCTGAGCAATATTAATGGCTGCCTCCTGATAGGATACCGTCCATTCTTTACGTCCTATCTATTTGTACGACAGCAGAAAATGGACCTGCAGAACACTAATCTTATCTTGTGTACGTACAGTACAAAAGGTAGCATTGGGGCTAAAAATCGACATCGCAACGAGTACATACAGCAACCAGACAGCGCAGGAGAAGCAGTAGTCGACTTATATATGACACGGTAATGCCATCTAACAAGACCTCCCAGAAACAACTCGTGATGCTTTTTTTCTCCTCACTCAAACACAGACAAGCCACAGACCATAATTCACAGGTAAGACACACACAAACAGACAGACCAAAATACAGGCAAAGAAGACCATGATGGATATATACCAGAGGACCCCGTAATGACGAAAACTGGGGGATAGCAGTGAAATGCAGGTACAGGCCACATGCAAGGTAGAAAACAAAACACAAACGAGGCGAAATAAAAATCGACGGAAAATCTCACGGAAGACGGTAACAGAAAAACGCCCGACGGTCCCTTCTAACATGCGCGATCGTCTATACCAATCCATCGTACAGAGACAGGGCGCTGACAATAGTCTCATCGCGTTTGCTGCCCTCCTTAAACTCCTCAAGGTCGAGACTGCCATTCTCGTCTTTGTCCATCATGCGGAAGATCTTCCTCACCCGCTTCTCTGGTGTGTCCTCGTCCTCGGGCAGCTTCACCATCGATCCGACCTGCAGATGCATCAGCCCACCGTTAGCCCCGTGCTCAAGCGTTCAAACGTGGCGGTCAGCCTACCATCTTGTAGATGGCCTCCACTATGGCCAGCATCTCATCGTAGCTGATCTTGCCATCCCCGTCAATATCGTATAGCTGGAAGGCCCAGTCCAGCTTGTCCTCCATTTTGCCGCGCGACGTCACTGACAGCGCGCAGATAAACTCCTTGAAGTCGATCATGCCGCTATTATCCTTGTCGAAGACGCGGAAGACATAGCTCGCAAAGGAGGTTGGGTCCCCAAAGGGAAAGAATTGGCGGTAGATCTTCTGGAACTCCTCTTTCGTAAGCGTTCCGGAGGGGCAGTCTTTGAGGAAACCTGTTGACAGAGGTTGGTAAGCCGTCGTGAATCGACACCAAATACGAAGAGTAAGAAAGCGCATACCTTTGTACCACTGCTGTAGTTCCTTCTTGTCGAAGTGGGTGGCCTTCTGCAGCTCATCGAGCTGGGCCGGAGAAAGCTTCGACTGCCTGCACGCGACAGGACATTAGTTATCTGTCGATACAGAAATGAACAGAAGACATGGTCCCGAGTTCAAACCGCCCCAATTATAGCTCTGAAGAAAGGCGTAACACCACAGCGCAAGGGTAATGACAAGGAGTCAAAAGTGGCGGACTTACGACTTCCCCATGCTGGTGCTCGCAACGCCGCAGACGCACAGAACTGCTAGACTCTCAACTCAACCCCTCAGGAATGATCGGCCGTGCTGTCTTGTTCTCTTTTTCTTCTTCGTATATGCTTTTTTCGCCTCTTCGATGTCGATGATGTCCTGGGAGAACGCGGTGGCGCGGGGTACTCGACGGGGCTTGATAAGATCAAAGACGCTTTCTTGGCGGCGGCAAGGCAGGGGGAGAGAGATGCCGGATATAGCGGATTGCAAGGAAGGATCGGACCGGATTACAAAAGACGAACGACAGATGATTCCCAGGAGCAGCCTAGAAACGGATCGTAGACGTTTGTTCACACTGAAATGGGGTTGCGGAGGGGTAGAGAAGGAGTAGATGTTTTGTTCGCAGGGAACAAGGCCCGTCGCAAGGGAAAATGGATGATGGGGAAGGGCGAATCTTCCAGCCCGGGCCGAACAACATGACTAACGAATTAGACGACAGGCATGGAGACGGGGACAGCGACGCTGGAACCGGCAAGCAACGCTACTGACTACAGAACTGCCGCCAGGTATGACGAATGGGCACGGCGATTGACCGTACGGCCGCCGCCGCGGCCGCGCGAGAGTTGCCAGGCCCGGACGGAGAGGGGAGCGGCAGGGTCTAGAGTGTGCTGCGCCACCGTCGCTGATTCGCCCGCGTGCGTCGGCTGTTGCGGCTCGAATGGGAGATGGCGCCAAGGCATGCTCGTCTTAGTCAGCGACTCAACAGCACGCGACGGACATGGCATAGACGGAGCCGCATGACAAATTCATCTCGACTACTCATAAGCAGGAGGACTCGATGGACATCTACGCCAATCAACGCCTCCGATTGAGAAAGACGGGCGCCATCTACCTAGAGACCTATTTACGCAAGCCCCCCACGATGCCAACAGAACGACAATCAAGAGCATAGGGATATATACGGTACATGCAAACATGCAGAGGACACAACAAACTGAACGCTCCTGTCCACAAGACTGTACAGTAAGAAAGACTGGGCATGGAAAAACAAGAGGCAGAATAAGGAACCCGGCTAGCTTAACATGCAAATGTGAGAGATGTCAACACGCATCCCACGTTTACTGCTCTGGGAGATGGTACACTATCCTACACATCGCCAAAAAGGGATCAGAAAACAAGGTGGATAAGTGGCCCCAATGGCCTCTTCAATCCACCTTGATGGACCCATAGATCTTCTGGACAAATGCCCAGCTGGCAAAGAACCCGATTGTGCCTGACCAAGCACTCTGGTTAGCCAAACATTGCGACAAAAACAAAAGCTCCAAGACAGCACATACCAGTCAAGATAAAGACCAAAAAGCCAATCAGGGCCGAATATCCCACGTAAAGGACGGCCCCCGTCAGGCCGCCGAAGCTCACTCGAGTGGCCCAAAAGATGAGCGCGTTGAGGAAGACATAGAAACCAGTCATGCCGGCACCGCCAAAAGCCCGCCATTGCCAGCGGTAATCCTCCGCGCAAAGCATAAAGTAGACCAGCAGGATCGTCGTAGCCGCCGTCGTGATGATCATCAGCACATAGCAGAGAAAGAGGAATCCGAACATGTAGTAGATCTTGCTGGTCCACAGAGAGTTCATGATAAAGTAGAGCTCCACGAAAATGGCACCAAAGGGGAGAATACCCGTCAGCAGGAGAGACGGGATCGGACGGAGAGTGCCGACGGGAGGAGGGATCTGACGGGGGATCTGGTTCGTCTTGGTCGGGCCTTCAATAGCCTGCATACGAGAGCCGTCAGCTACATATCAACCGGTTACCAGAAGAGGAAAGAGAAAAACATACCCGTTGCTTGAACCCAACCCAGCTGCCAGCCACACTGAGCGGCACACTGATCACGAACCAGATCAGGACCAGAGCGATCATAGTCGTGAACGGGACGGCACCACTCGAGCCATTGGCCCACACAAACAGATTCAGCAGGAAGAACAATGAAAACACGAGACCAGGAATGAGAACTGGCGTTAGGATGATGTTGCGCTTCCACGCCTCGCCGCCGAAAGACTTGTAGACGCGGGCCGACACGTACCCGCCGATGAAGCCGAAAACGGTGTAGAGGATGAGGATCGTCGTCGCCAGGAATCCACGATTGGCGGGGGATAGAAGACCAAAGAGGGCGAAGACTGCAGGAGTCAGTTACTTAGAAATCTCATAGAAAAGGAGAACCAAATAGTAATAAACGTACCCACAGTGACTCCAGTCATGACAAATATCTGAGCGCCATTGCCCAGCAGGACACTCAACAGAAGGGGACTCTTGGGGCACCGGAACACATCTCCATGCACCAGCTTCCATCCCGAGTCCTCCTGTATGCCATCCTCCACGGCCGCCGAAGTTCCGTCCAGATCGTCCAGATTAATCGAATCCAGCCTGTTATACCGCGCGATATCCTTCTTTAGAGCACGGATCAAAATCATGCTAACCATGCCGACCAGGAAGAAGACGAAGACGGACGAGTTTATTAGGGAGAACCAGTGGATCTTGGGGTCAAAAACATGCAGGTATTTATCCCATCGGGTCGCCCATGCAGTGTCGGATTCCCTCCAGTACACGCTGTATGTCCACGTCACAGGCGTCTCATCCTCTTCACTGAGGATCATAGGAGGGCCACCCTCGGCACAATCAACTTCCCCATTATCCAGCACCTTCGACTTGCCGCGCGAGTCAGGCTGGACGAGGACACCGACCACCCGTAATTTGTTCGACGCCGGGATGCCGGCCCGGTGATAGTCAATCACGATGTCATAGTGATTGTGCAAGAGCGGCTGTCCATTGTCGTCCACACTACCTAGCAGAAAGCCGGGGCTGTAGAATTCGGTCTTGGTGATGGCATCCATATTCAGTTGCGCGGCCGGCAGTCCGTCGACCAGCCAGTTGATGTTGTATCCCTGAGTGATCCTCCGATTCGTAAATTTGGCGCTTTTCGGATCGAATGTTACCTCTCCGCAGACAGCTTTGCACGTCTCATTCTTGATCATATGCAACTCGAAGGGCGACGTCCGGATGCGGTCTCCAAAGATGATACTTCCCAACGATTCCCGAACGTCTTTGGGTCCATCCTGCGGCTGACAGAAATGGAAAAGAGGGTTGTAATAGTCGTAGGATAATACGGAATGGAGCTGGTCATCCTGTCGGGCGACCCCTGGCGTGAGATGATTCACATACAGCGGCACTTTTTGTCCTTCATCGTAGGAAGTTGGTGCCACCCCGGGCAGATAGAAGGCAGAGGAAAGCGAGGAGGTCGACAGCAGTAGGGAGGAGAGAAATAATAATCGATTCGAGGACAGCATTGTGCGAGTCCTGGCGCTTATTTGTAAGGTACTGAATGATTGTCTAGAAAGATTATCACTGATTCCGATCGGTATCGGGCACTTACTGTTGCCAGCGGCGACCACCCGACGAAATTTACTATTCACGGGTTCATGCGGAGTACACTTGGAACGAGAATCGGTATTCAGAATATGACCAAGGAATAAAGGTGCTTAGGTCAGCACCGGTCTCTTCGACTGAGAATCAGCTGTGCCAGGAAATCATATCAATTGTTTCGAGTTGTAAGTGAACTAACATTCGAAGGATTAACGCTCGGCCAACGACCAACGTGTTCTTGGCCCGCCGCACGTGACATTTATACCCAATCGACGACTATTACTATTTCTGTAAATATGAAAAACACGCTGGAGACTCGATCTACAGAAATGATGCTGAACCATCTTCTGCCGGGTTATTCGTTCTTGGTCTCAGAATTGCGGTAATAATAGCTTTGTTCTTTTAACGAGTTCAAGTCATTCCGCAGGATAAGGATAATATCTAATTTTTTTTCCACGATAAATATATATTTTTCAGCATGTGCTTGATGGTGCTAATATCGCAACGCAGACGACCGATTTGACAACCTAACTAGAACGCTATGTAGCCAATATAAAAACGAACGGTTGGAAAGGATCAGATTTAGGGGCCAAAGAAGAATTTGATACAATCTCTAAATGCTCCATCCATCATAACTGTATCACCTGTATTCTCTATATGCAATCAGGTACCTTTCCTTCTGTTTCTCGGTTCGAGAAGTTGTAAGGAGAGGGAAATGAGAGCCTATAGAGGCCGACAGACGTGCTCACGGCACCATACAGAAACGGGACTGACAGGCCCCGACACTCCTGCTTCATTTGGCTCGAGTGTATAAAGTCGAATATGGAATAAACCTGCGAGAAACCAAGTAAGCAACTCGAGTGTTAGGAACAAAAATAGAGCTAGCTGAGAAAGTCTGTTATCAGAGTGGTGTTACATTAGATGTAATGGCTTTCACGATCATACAGGCTAGCTCCATGGGAACTTTCCAGTGACAACAAATAACATCGCTCTTTGCAGTGGGCTCTCTCACACAGCGATGCAAACTTTACCTTCTTTCCAAAAGGAACTCGTCACTTTCACTTTCACATTCCACCATACTACAGTGACTACTTACTCCATTCTCCTACAAGGCGTGGAGGTTTCAGAAGAGACAGGCATAGGAGAAAGGAGACTCGATCGACAACTCACAACAATCAGCAGACGCGTCTCCTAAAAGAAACGAGGATCTCTACCAACCATCACAACAACATGATGCTCATCATTTTTACGCTGATCATGCTGCTGATGGGTACGGTCATCTCCGTCCCAGAGCCGCCTGCAACCTGTGCACCGGGGTACAACATGTGCGAATCCAATGGCGTGTTCGACGGACGCGACGATTTGGTCCATCTTTACCAGAATCTGGTCGACACCGTGGACGCGTCCTCTCACTTTAAACGGGAAGCACTCGAGGCAGAACCCCTTGAACGCAAAGAGGTTACTTTGCTGTGCTGTGAGTGCACCGGTATAAGGAACAGATTCAGCGCATAGACTGACGACCTGAACAGGTGCCGAAGGCATGCAATGTTTGGGTTTAAAGGGCAGCAATATGCCTTTCTGTTGGGTATGAAATAATTACCTTTGAACATTCCCAACTCTCGTGTTACCCCGGCTGACTGACTGATTCTTCAGGATCGATTCACCACAGATGTGTATCTCCCGGGCGGTTGGTATGGAAGTATCACGACTGGCGAATTTACCCTACCATCTGGCGAGACGGTCAATCTGATCACGGGGCAGTACGCAAACGGATCCAATATCTACGGCGCAGAGGTCACGGCTAGGCCCAACCTCGCAACGATGAGCTTGCCTGGACTTTGGACAAGCAGTGGTGTTGGAAGTGCGATCCCTGCCAGTGTTCTTGGAGCTTCAGCGACAGAGACAACCGCCACTAGCACCAGCGATACCAGCCTCTTGGGCAGTATTGTCACTGCAACATCTGCTAGTGCAGGGACAACTACGACTCGGCCAGAGTCTACTGCAGATAGCACTGCAACATCTGGCAGCATTACGGCAACCACCACGCAGCCAGAATCCACAGTCAATAGCAGCACTCTATCCGAGTCTGCTCCGAAGACGGGTAAGGCAGGAAAACCAGCTCCCACTGCTTCAGGAGCGGCTGGAGTCAAGGACAGCGCTTCCTGGGCGTCTACTCTGGTAGCAACTGGCCTGACAATCGCCGTGATGTTCAATTGAGACTTGACAACTCATATGCCTATCTCAGCATTCAGAAATATTGGACTTTTCGGCAGTGAATCAGAATTGTTTCTTTCCTGCATTTCATAGTGAAATTGTTGCTTGATGAGGGTCTTTTAGTTTCGGGGAAGGCTGATTACACATGTATGGCAGGGTCTTTTGAAATTTTTTTCAAAAAAAAGGAAATTCACTCCATTAACGGGATATTCTGGACGAAGTTGGAAGCATAATTAATAATAATAAACCAAAGACCTTTGCTCGATAAATACTAATTCTCTGAGTTGGCCTTTGTAATTATCCCTACGGTTAACCGACTCTTAAACTGATTGGACGGATAGCGATGACTAAGCAATCTAACTTTTAGTCACGTGGAGATAAGCGTTTCTCCAAAACTTTTGATTGGGAAAATCTTCGGCGGGATCGCGAACGCAAAATCCAGCGACCGACAGGAAATCCAGACGAACGCAAAAAGCGAAGGACTTCCACCATGGCCGCAGCGGCCACTGAGCAGCCATCATCCAATGGCGCCAAGACGAATATCTCCTCGCTTCTGGACAGTATTACGAACTGTCTGTCCAGCGCAGGATCCTCCCTGCCGTCGACTACGAAGAATGCACCGTCCGACGTGAGCATCCAGCCTCCAGAGGACGGCATCTCGCTCCTCGACACAAAGAGCGACCTTCTACTGTCCTACTTGCAGCATCTAGTGTTCCTGATTTTACTCCAACTGCGCGGAATTCCCAAAGCGAGCAGCAGCGGCAGCAACGGTGTTCAGAAGGGCGAGAACGAGAACAAGAAGAACAGCTCTTCTTCACTCCGGGACGATGTCGTGAAGAAACTCGTGGAGCTCCGAGTCTACCTCGACCGGGGGTGAGACCGCTAGAAGGAAGGCTCAAATACCAGATTGACAAAGTGGTCAAAGCGGCTGAGGACGCTGAGCGGTCCCAGCGGGCGGCTGAAGCAGCGAAGAAGGCCAAGGACAAGAAGAAGAAAAAGAAGAAGACGAAAGCGCAGGTGTCGTCGGATCAGTCAGGAAGTGACGACAACGACGACAGGGAAGAGGAGGAGGTATCTGATTTTGCTAGCGACGAGCAGTCTGATGGCGAGGAAGTGAGCGATGAGGAGGAAGAAGATGAGGAGGAGGATGAGGACGAGGAAGAAGAGATCGACGAAATGGCATACAGGCCCAACATCTCCGCATTCACGAAAGGAATGCAGGCAGAGGCCGAAAAGCAAAAAGCATCAAAGGAGGCGAAGAAGTCCACTTCATCTGACGGTATTTATCGTCCGCCCAAGATCAAGCCGACCGCCCTCCCCACAACCGATAGTGAACGCAAGGAGAAGGAAGAACGCCGACCCAAGAAATCCAGCGTCATCGACGAATTCGTCACGACGGAGATGTCGTCCGCACCTGTTGCGGAACCCAGCATTGGAAGCACGATTCAGCGCGGTGGCCGACATGTGTTGACACAGAAAGAGCGGGAGGAAGAGAAGGAACGGCGTGAGTACGAGGAAATGAACCTAGTGCGACTGCCAAAGGAGAGTAAGAAAGAGCGGGCGAAAAAACGGCGTCGGGAGGGTACCTTTGGTGGTGAGGAATTCCGCCTGCTGGGCGAAAGTGCAGATCGCATCGAGAGACTGACCCGGCGCGCGGGCGGGAGCAGTCGCAGCAGCGTGCTGGAGAAGAGTCGCAAGCGGAAACACACCGAGGATGGTCCCCGCGACGACGGAACGGCCATCGGGCAGATCTTTGAGAAACGGCGGAAGAAGATTGAGAGCTGGAAGAAGAAGTGATCTGGTAAAAAGCATCATGTGTTGTGGTGATATGTTTTCCTCTTTTTGTTTGATACCAATTTTCGAGTCTACCATCGAATGTGCATGGGAAGGACTTATTTTTTTGATGTATAGAACCGTTTTCCTGATTCAGAAGATATCAAAGGAGTAGTGCAGTTCTGTGGATATGTCATTTACAAAGGATTGAATTTGAGAACGCCTTCCTTTCCATTTATATGGTATGCTGTAGGAATGATATATCTACTACTTATCTATGTACTGTTGTTGCAAGAACGAAGTTCAAGCTGCACGCACCAGAACCCTCTCTCATTTTGCTCCCTCCCTGCCCCCCCTCCCTCTGGCCACCCCCCTAACCAAAGCCACATATAATTTCTTTGTCTGTCTTCCTGT